TCCTCCTTCCCTCAGTCCTTCCTGGCTAGGTGGGCTTTGAGTTTTTTTCTTCCAAAGTCCATGTTGGTAGTGGTAGTAGTGGTGGTGGTGGTGGAGGTTGTGGTTGTGGAGGGGTTTGATCGGGAATGAACATCCCTCCCCACCTCACGTAGTGTGTTTGTAGAATATCGAGTCCACTAGTTGGCTCACCTGCAGGGGGAGGGGAGCGCTGCCCTAAAACACCGGCTCCTCTCACTCCTGCGCTATGCTCCTCAGCACGTACTTCACTGTGTAGGCAAATGCTGCAAAGCCTACAATCACAAAGAGGTTGGCTAGAGCCCCACCTAGTAGTCCATGGTTACGATTGGCCTGCTGCTGGCCAGGGGCGGGGTTGGCACCCCCTAGTTGGGCAGGACCACCGTTGAGGGCTGGGAGGCCATAGTGGGCTTGCTGGGGGTCTCCGTCAGGCACCACATCAGGTAAGGGGAGAGGCTGTGTACGGGCGTTAAGCTCCTCCTGGGCCTTCTGTTTCTGCTTCATCTCCTGGCAGAAAGGAGGAGGAGAAGGTTAGGATGGAATCAGTCCCTGATGAACATCCCCCCTCCCCAAACCCCAAAAAGCCCTTATACTTACGTCAACTACATCGGGAAACAGCTCACAGAATACTTTGTCTTTGAGGTTGAAAGCCAGGCTTTGGGCTGATAGCTGTCTTTTCTTGAAGAAAAAAAAAAAGACATGAAATACCTGAGACATAACAGGTCATTTATGTCATTATGTTGCAAATATGATAGTCTGTTTTAATTACTGTGTAATCAGAGGTCTCAATGCTGCCAAGAGTGGGTCCTTTTTCCACCATGAAGCTGAGCAAACCCGTGAGGATCGTCGAGACGGACCACGCTGGGTTCCACGTATCCGGGTGGAAGTCTGTGATGGACAAACATAACCTGTGGAGAAACGGGAACATTTATGACCAAGTTCTAAAAACGCAGCCTAAATCATTTTCAAAGCTTTAACGCTTAAATTAACTGAGTAATAAGAAGCTACAGTCCTACCTTGTGTTGCACTTAAATCTCCCATTTGGCGTTATCATGTAGATACTTGGTGGTTTAAAAGGGAATTCTCTGGGAAATATAAGTTTTCCATGGTAATATCCACCTACAAATTAGACATGACATATATAAATATATGTTATACAACACTGTGATCTATCAAAAGCAAAAAATCCCCCAAAGGATTAGTCAGACCTGTATGAAGCTAACCTGAGAAAGACTCACCTGATCATTCAGGTGATGTCATCAGTTATTAACTTATCTAAACTTACACATTACACAAGTTTTTTTCTAGTGTTTAGCATTTCTTACCTTCATACGGGGTTTTCTCAGGACCTCTGACTACATAGTGCCTGAAAAAGAGGAACAAAAAAAAAGTTAATCACTTATTTCAGATATGACTAA